GTAGCCCTTTGCGTGTCGTGAACGCCGTCTTTTGTGTTGTTGTTGAACGTTGTGGGCTTCATTGAGTTCTTCCCGCCAGTATCCAGATGCCGTATCCAGTGTCGTGAAGAATCGAGCACCGGCTGGGCTGTCCAGAGCGTCAACACGCGGGGAGGACTTCGTGTTACCGAGTTGACTGCACTTAGATCCACACAAAATCTTAATGTGCCGTCCGTCTTTTTTTGCCAGAACGACAGGCAAGCACCATACGAGACTGGAGCTCGTAGACTGGAGCTCGGCTCAATAATCCCGTGACTTTCAGCATGGAATCTTTTTGCCTTTCCACCTCAGACTTCAGTTTCAGAGTTTTGTTCTCGGACGCTGTTTTATAGGCTTATCGTCGCCTGTGTCGATACGGTGCTTCATTAGATCTAGGTTTTTCCGATGTTACTGTTATTCTCGCTGGAAATATCGATATATTCTGTGACCAGCTCCTTCAGTCTGCGTTTTCCGGCCTCTGAAAGGTCTGCGCTGTCGATGTTCAAACGCTCGACGACGTCCCCAGGCCACCAGTCGATTTGAATTGTATTAGTGAGGTATCGAGTTCATCGAGCACAGTCCGCTACGGGTGGATGGTCCACTACTCTATCCACCGGGTTCCTATGGCTCAGCATTGCAGCAGCCGCCTGGTACCGGTAGGCTGTGCCGCATGACCCGAAAGCTAAGCGGCACAGTCCACCCACGCCGTGTGACATCGTCTCGGGTCGCCGGGTGGAGCGCTTTGTAGACCAGCTGTTGCGTCAGACCAGCGCGGCGGGGGCGGGGGTTGGCGTGGGCTGGTGAGTGGTGTGGGGCGTGTTGGTTGTTATGTTTTGAACCCGTTCGGCGGACCGGCTGCTGGTAGGCTGTGCCGCCGTGCACCGGCCCGGCCCGGCCCAGTGCACAGTGGGGATTTTTCCGATCTAGCGCCTATTAATTCAAAAACCTTTTTTGGATTTTTGTTTATTACGGAGCGAGCGAAGCGAGCGGAGTCTCATACTGAATTAAGGGAAAATCCTGAGTATGAGCGGCCGGCCGGCCGTGGGGACGCTCTTCAAAAGCTAATATCTTAGGAACGGGACATCCGATTGACAAGCGGTCTTTTTTACTGAATGTCACTTGGACGTAAAAGTTCTGTGGTGTGATGGCCACCATGCGTTCATGCCAACCACCGCACGTGGCGCGTGGTAAAGTTGGACATTTTTTAAGAACCCCCAAAATTGCAACCTCAATAACGGCACAACGGTTGGGCCGATTGAATTGAAACTCGGTACACAGTTAGGTCTCCATCAGATAATTCATCTGCATGTGTTAAGGTTGGGGTGCTACAGCACGTGCGCACGTGCAGGGGGCGCTCCCAGATCTCGAGAACGGCTGGGCCGATTGCGCTCAAATTTGGTACACGGTTGGGGACCAGCTAGTAGGGTGCCGTGCAAAAGTCAGTTTGGACCCCGCTTGCACGTGCGCACGTGCAGTGTGCCGCTTCCAGATCTCGAGAATGGCTAGGCCGATTGCGCTGAAATTTGGCACATCGCTAAAGACCGGTTAGTAGGGTGCAGTGCACAAGTTAGTTGGAGGTACCCCCTCGCAATTTCCCACGTGCAAGGCCCATCCTCTCGCTCGCTCCGTTGGTCGCCCAAAAGGCGTTTTACTGGTTTTTTTGTGTCAGTAGGGCTAAGAAATGTCTGAATTTTTCATATATGACATTGTTTTATCTGTATGTCCACAGCAAAACTAGGAAAAATGTGCCCAAAGTTCACACTCATGCGTGATTACTCAATGGGCTCAGCAAGGCCCGAAAGTATAGCTCAATTTCATTGTCCTGTCCTGTTGGTTTTAATCTTGCGAGGTCTTAAAGTTGCATATCGTCTGAAAGGCACCTTTATTAGGAATGGAATGGCAAACAGAAAGTATGCCACAACCTTACTAAGGTCACAAAAATGCCCTTTACAAAAACCCTTACAGACACCATATTGAAGGAATGGTATTCTAAATAAATGTAGGAAATCAACAATGTTTTCCACACTTTTCCACTCCGAAACATATCCTATCGAATTCGCCACTTTCTCCTGCACAAGTCAACGCCTAATTTGGCTGCCGAAACTTGCCTGAACACGGAATATTCACATAAGAGTATCTTAACACCCCACTCGAGGAGCGCTAGGGCAAACAGCACGATATAGGTATGTTCCGGACATAGGCGAATAATTTTACTTCGTGATTTATATGATGCATATTTTCTGAGACACATTCATTAGGAATAGGATGACAAGCGTAAATTATACATAACGTAACCTTATTAACCATCGCACTTGTGGGGAGGGGGAGGGGGAAGGGGTCGGATAAAACCCCATGGTTTTCCGCAAATTACTCGCGCAAAAAGCGGCCGATCGCGCCGAAACTTTCGGTACCCTCGAGATAATCAATTTTACGTCTAACCTAAAAATTTCATGACTCTGACCCAACTGACCTTTGACCTGTGGCATATTTCTCGAGACCATGTTTGGCCGGAATCGCGATTCGGCGTATGCCAGCTCACATTATCCGCGGTTTCCAGTCTTTTTGTGGTTTTAAACGTTCAAATATGTGAAATGATGTTGGTGCCATGCATAATGGTGGGTGTCAAGGTCACGTGAAGGTCAAGTCAAGGTCATTGACCTTTTGATGACCTTGGTTCACTTTTTCGAGTTTTACTTGTTTCTAGGGTAGTTTTTGGTGCTGATTTCGATTTTAGCAGCCATTTGAATATTTACGAAGTAGTTCTAGTGCCTTCGTTCCATGTTACGAAGCTATCAGTAGTGGGTGACACTTCTATGGATGGCCGGCAGGACGCCTACTAATTGATCTAACCTGACCTGACCCGACCTGGCCTAAATGCATAAAGACATCGTCTGTGATCAAAACTAACATGAAATTCGTGATCAGCACCCCAAAATACCCCGTAACACCCTAAACTTTGCGAAGTTTCAAGAGGTCTCGATTTCCCAACTTTAGTTGGGTCATTAAACTGACTTGGAAAGTCAGCTTATGGCCCTGGACTTTGAAATTGGATATATTTGGCCTCATTTCGTCATAGGCAGCACGCTTGACTTTCCCGCGAAGCTCTAGCTTGATCAGGGGCCAAACGGCTGAGCGGGGGGTCCAATTGAACCCCCTATACTATGTTGATTATGCACATTTACAGGTAAAATTCTCACTAGGACACACCAGCCAACATCTGTGCACAATCTGGCTACAATTCTACCTATGGTTTGCTATCTACGAATAAATACGTGCTAGGTCGGAAAAATCCCCACTGTGAAGTGTGTGCTCGCGGGGCAGGTCAGGGCCGAGGGAGTGTCTGAATCGGGCCGAGCGAGTGCTGGCATTCTGTGTCGGACCGGGGCGCGGAATACATACAGGCACGAACCGGAGCAGTTGTGTCGGCGGCAGCGACAGAGGATGCAACATTGGTGGACCATGGGGGCTGGGCGGGTGTGTGTGGTCACTTGCTGCATTGCACATTTTGCGCCGCTTAACAATGGCATTCCTGTTTTAGCTAAGCACAATGCACAGAAGACCTAGCGAATATAATTTACATTTATTTGCATGTGTATTATGCAAAACGTGATTTGGCACGGTATCGACTATCGAGGCAACCACAGGTCTTGTGCCACATATATGTATGATATTTAGGCAATACATTTATGAAAATGGTTAATTGACAATTAAATGGTTAATTAATTGATAATGCTAAATGTCGGCATGTATTCAACAAATGAATGAATGGATCAATCAATCAATCAATCGACCTTTATAAAGCCGTATATATGGCTTGCAACCGGACAGGTGCATGGATTCGGGAAAAATGGATCTGAGATCCGATCCCGTGGATCGAGATCTGGGATCCACTGGGATCATAGATTCAAGCCCTCAATTTTGTCGAGAGATCCACTTATATCATAGATTTGACCCATCAGTTTTGTCGAGAGATCCGCTCAGATCATAGATCCCACTCCCCAATTTTGTCGAGAGATCCACTGGGATCATAGCTCATACTCATCATAGGTGCTCAAAAGGCTTTCAGCTTTCCTGCACAAAAAGGTATGAATACCAAAGCAAGGTATGAATACCAAAGCAAGGTATGAATACCAAAGCAACAAACAAACAAAAAATATGATAGAAATGTCATAATAGATAGTAAGGAGCTTTCAGATTAATTTGCACAATAATTAAATATTATAAAAAAAATATTCCGTACCGCCGATATCTTTCGGGTGTTTAGAGGCAAAAAATACAATTTATATAAAAATACGACATATTTCAGACTAGGCGAAATGTATACCAGACGTTTAACAGTTTGTTAATCGTCTAGACGCTTAAAGGAAAAGGGCCACCTTTAACATGGGGATTGAAACTGAGATAGCCATCTTGTAGCCCGTGTCCGAAAACCTATCTTTTTATCTCCTTACGGCCGATTGCGGCCTCCATTCGTAGTTATCGGCAATTTTAAAAGAAAATACGCCAGGAATGCGTCCTTATCCCAGGAATGCGTTCTTATCCGACAATACAGCCACCCGCGGCGAGGCTTTGGTTTTTTACCAATCAGCTCCAACCAGCTCAGCTTTAACCAATCAGCTTATCTGACACAATCCGACGAGTCTGTCTGCTGAACGCTGATTGGCTTGAGTGTGACGTCATCGCTATGCCATCATACAGTAGGTGCCGTAGAGAGTATCAACATAGTACCAATATGTTAAATAGTTTTAAATACTTTTTCGCGAATTGTGCACTTCTGGCACCAGTTTTAAAAAGAAAATGAAAAATAATAATGTCAAAATGAAAAACAACGATATCTTCATATTTCACGAAGGTGGCCCTTTTCCTTTAATAAATCGGTTACACGACATCTGATAATTTTCTCTCTTTGCACGTGAAGCAATTGGAAACACTGTCTACGGTGCGGGATGCTTGGTTGTTAATGTTTGCCCTGTCTGTTTCAGCTGATGAAGCTGTTCCGGAAGTTGTTGGGTCAGAAGCTGTTCCATACCGTGATGAGAGCCACATTCTATGGACAGTTTGTGGCAGGCGCTGACCAGGTACGTCATGAAGACCTGGAGGGGATGACTTGGAGAGCCCTGTGACTAGAGGACGATCCTTTCCAGGCGTGTGCGAGCACCCCACACATCTCATACACAGGCGTGCGATCACACATCCAGTGTTGGATGTGTGATCGCTGCGAATTTCAGGGAAAGCAGCAGCCTAGGCTCTAACTATATGAGCCCATTGGATTCCATTGGAAACTCCTTTCTTGAAAGACGACTTCATAAGGCCGGGCGACAGGCCGGACATGGAGCAAGTGTGAAGCACGCACCCAACCTGTGAAAGACACGGATCTGTGGCGTGTGGATCCCACAGCACCTAACCTGTGAAAGACACGGATCTGTGGCGTGTGGATCCCACAGCACAGCACCAAACCTGTGAAAGACACGGATCTGTGGCGTGGGGATCCCACAGCACCCAACCTGTGAAAGACACGGATCTGTGGCGTGTGTGGATCCCACAGCACCCAACCTGTGAAGACATGATCTCAGGTGATTTCACGGCAATAGTGACGACAAAACTTCAACGGTGATACCATTGCGTCTTTAAAACCGTTTTAAATTGCAACGCTTTTTGTCTTAACCCTCGCCCGTATAGGGGGGGGGGGTCGAACGGACCCCCCCATGGTTTTTCGCGAATAACGCGTAAAAAGCGGCCGATGGCGACGAAACTTTCAGTACCCTCGCGTTAATCAATTTTACACCTACCCTGAAAATTTCATGACCCTGAACCCAATGACCTTTGACCTGTGACCTACTTTTCGAGACCATGTTTGGCCGGAATCGCGATTCGGCGTATGTCGGCCCGCATTAGCCGCGCGTTTGCAGTCTTTTCGTGGTTTCAAGCGTTCAAACATGTGATATGATGTTACCCCCATGCATTAGGGTGGGTGTCAAGGTCACCTGAAGGTCAGGTCAGGTCATTGACCTTTGGTGACCTCGGTTCACTTTTTCAAGTTTTACATGTTTCTAGGCCAGTTTTTGGAGCTGAATTCGAATTTAGCAACCATATGAACGTTTACGAAGTAGTTTTGGTACCTTCGTAACATGTTACAAAGCTCTCAGAGGCGGTTGACACCTACTAGGAATACCCGGCAGAACCCCTACTGGTTGACCTGACCTGACCTGACCCGACCTGAACTAAATGCATAAAGACATCATCTGTGATCAAAACTAACATGATATTCGTGATCAGCGCCCCGAAAAACTCCATAGCAGCCACACTTAACGACATTCTAACAGGTCCCGATTTTCCCGACTTATGGGTCATTGACCTGACCTGCAAGGTCAACCAATGACCTAAGACCTTAAAATTGGGTATCATCGGCTTCCTCTTGCCACGGGCAACACGCTCGTTTTTCCGCGAAGCTCTAGCTCGATCAGGGGCAAAACGGCAAGGGGGGGTCCAACGGACCCCCCCCCCCTTATACGTTCGCGGCTGGAAAAACACCAATCCTACGGGCGAGGGTTAACCTTCCATTAACTGAGAGGAGGGGGGGGGGTAACGCAACTCGCTCTGCATGCTTTATGCAATATGTACCTGAAGATCCATAATCACAGGCTACCTAGCCCTGAAAGTCACCAGAGCTTCTCTATATCAATTTTCAATTCTTGAATGATGCTGCTTTTGGATTCGCTGAAAGTGTTTGAGCAATGACCAATGTTGTGCCTAGGTACTTCAGTACATGCCAGTCTTGGCTAAAAGTGGCATAACTTTTCACTGTCTTTATGGCGTCCCTTGGCCACTTTGCAAATAGAAACCACAAATGACGCTAACTAAGGAAAGTTTGACATTGACTGCGTTTCCATGACACATTTAATCGCTTTAACCCGTCAGTTGCTGGGGTATTTCGCCACCCACCGTTTGCTGGGGGGGGGGGCGTTAAACGCCCCCAGCCGATAACTCGAGAACCAATAGGCGCAGCGAAACGCACGAGGCGGCAAACGAAAGAACACGACGAGACGCTTCAGATGAGTACTTTTAAGTTGAATTTTGACGTCACAGGTCGGGTCAAGGTCAGGTCAAACACCTGAAATCGGGCTTTCAGTAGCATGGACTTCAGGACTTCGCAATGGGCGCCTCTTGTCATAAACTCTGTCAAAACGGTGCACAATCCATCATATAAGGCCTACAAGAGTGTCAGCTCCATGTAGGGGTCAGTCAAGCATAGGTCAGGGTCAAGGTCAGGTCAACCGGGTAGGCAAATATCCCCGAAAATCAAAACTGATATTCGCAGCCTGTGACACATGTTTTATGGGTAATTTGGGGCGTAGAACACGATGGTGACATTCATTTTATCATATGTGTACGTGTTTGGCTCAAAAGTTCAATTTAAGAAATGCATGTATCATGGTCGTGAAGTAGTCACGAGAAATTGCCAAGATTCAGTTCAAGATTTTGGACAATGCGGAACGATAATCAATAATCGAAGATAGTCATTTTATTGCTCATGGTATTGGCAGTCTAATGGCGTTTACGGCATGTCTGTATGTCTGTATGTCTATTCTGTGATTTTATATGATTTTTTGAACGTTTTTGGTTTTTGGCCGTTTTTGGTCGAAAACTCAGAAATCATGACGTCACTAAAACCTCGATATCTCAAAAATTTTCGGACCTATTTTTTTTTTGAAACTTTGGCACAATACACTTTAATCAATTCCCTACAGGTACCCAAAATTTGGCGCGCCTGCGGCGCGCGGTTTTTATGCTATGGCCCGGCGAAAAAGGTGGGGGCGTTTAATGCCCCCCCCCAGCAACTCGCGGGTTAATGAAATTTCACGTGCATTTTTCTCTGATACCTACTATTAGTCTGTGCGTATATGTATATGACTTTAGCTAGCACTTCATCCTATATTTACAATTTTGAAATGATGCCGACATGCTATGATGGACGATGGTGCAAATCCATTTGTAAAATCGGCTTAACCTTCGCCCGTTTTTTTTTTTTTGCCAGGCGTGTTAGTTTGATCACAGATGATGTCCTTATTCATTTAGGCCAGGTCGGGTCAGGTCAACCAGTAGGGGTCCTGCCGGGTATTCGTAGTACGTGTCAACCGCCTCTGACAGCTTCGTCACATGTTACGAAGGCACCAAATCTACTTCCTAAATGTTCAAATGGGTGCTAAATTTGAATTCAGTTTAAAAAAACTAGCTTAGAAACATGTAAAATTAGAAAAAATGAATCGAGGTCATCAAAGGTCAATGACCTGAACTGACCTTAAGGTGACTTTGACACCCACGCTAATGCATGGGAGCAACATCATATCACATGTTTGAACGCTTGAAGCCACGAAAAGACTGCAAACGAGCGGCTAATAGCCGTTTTCACGACGGTCTATCCGGCGAGTGCACCTGATTTGACCAAATCTGCACCTAATCTCTTTTACAGCAAATATCTTCATTTTATGAATTTATTTCAGTGTTTTAATCGATGATGCTCTCTGATAATACGACAAAGCAGGCATATAAGCAATTAGTGTCACCCTAGCTGACAGCTACTAAGAGACAAGCTGAACCTGATTTGACCAAATCTGCACCTGATCTGACCAGATGTGTACTAAATGTGTACCAGATGGCCGTCGTGAAAACGGCTAATGTGAGCCGACATACGCAGAATCGCGATTCAGGCCAAACATGATCTCGAGAAATAGGTCACAGGTCAGGTCAACCAGTGGGGGCCAGTAGGGGTCAAGAGGCCATTTTGATGAGGATCATGCAATTATCAGGGTATGTGTAAAATTGATTAACGGGAGGGTACTGAAAGCTTTGTCACGATCGGCCTCTTTTTACGCGAGTTACTCGCGAAAACCGAGGGGGTCCGTTCGACCCCTTATGCGGGCGATGGTTAACTTGTGCCGTGGAGAGGTAGCTATTGTTTTAGAAATCAGCGTATCACTCATGAACCAAAAAGGCTACAATTCGTTTTTTAAATGGTTTGGCTCCAAGTACGTTTTTCGAATTAGGAGACCCCCCCCCTCAAATAAAGATCCTTGAATAGGTACTGCTTTATACACTGTTGTAGTTACCAACTTTGCACTGGGTGATATCTTAATGGTTTATCTACCCTGTAAATTTGGTGTTACTTAAAGGTAGTGTGCCACCTTTGAAAGATTTCCCATTTTATTTTTCCTAGGATAAGAAGCTTCTGTTTTTACCTAATATCGCAAAAAAAATCAAAAATGGGCCTGGAATAGTGCCTTTTTCGCCTAAAAGTTTATCGGTTTTTCGATATGTATAACAACTGTAGTGGGCTGACCTGCAAACAGGCGTCGGTAACAATCGCGAATGCGGCGCACATGTGACAATAAGCAAAGGTCATTAAAGAGTTACGACGTGCGGGAATGAGTTATCAGCTGTCTAATCGTAGACAACACAATGTCGAGCCTTAAACTGTAAGCCTGTATTGGTATTGTTTCTTTTATTTGGCTGTCGAACATTATTTATGGTTTGAAATATGATTTTATGTAAAATAATTGATATGAAAAAGCCGTCTCTTAAGTTATGACCCCATTTCACCACACGCAAGTGGCAGAAATGACAATGATCAGCTGACGCATTTTTCTTGGCCGAAGTCACTCGAGCGCGCGGCCCGACGCACCACCACCGCACCACAAAGTATGAGCAGAAGCCACCTGCGGTAGACCGCGCCCAAAGCCAGGGCCCCGGTAACGTGAGGTAGCCGAGTCGGGGCAGCGTGCGCTGACCCAAGCCGGGGCCGCAGCTTTGGGCGCGGTCTACCGCATCCCCGCGGACAGCCCCGGGCTATCACATGACACCGGGAGGACGCGCGGCCCCGGCTTGGGTCAGCGCACGCTGCCCCGACTCGGCTACCTCACGTTACCGGGGCCCTGGCTTTGGGCGCGGTCTACCTCACCACCTAACAGGCGTGTTCGAAACCGCAGGAGATGATGATGAACGGGTTTATCGAAACTTGATTGGATGAGCATATCGGTAATAGCGATTTCAGTGTGTGCATTTATTGTTCATAGTGGTGTGAAATGTGGTTGGGGTACGACCGACAACCCGTCGGGGCGAATTTCGCACTGGGGTACTCAAAATTTGAAGAATTTAAGACGTTTCCATGAGTTTTGAAGGTATGGATAAGTTCTAAAAATCCGGTTCTCCTTATCTGGGCCATTAACTCCATACGGTCCAGGAAAGCTGGCACTACCTTTAACCCGCGCGGGGCTGGGGTCTCCAGCCGAACGCGCGGGGCTGGGGGGGGTAAATTTTACCCCCCCTGTTATCTCCCGAACTAACGGTCCGATTTGGAAAATTCAAACGCCAATCGAAAGCTCTCATCACGAACTACTAAAAACATGTACTTAATTTAAAGTTTGAGGTCAAGGTCAAGGTCAGGTCAAGGGTACAAATTGCAAGTTTCTAAAGTATCGGCCTTGCACCGTAGTTGCCGAAGAATGGAGTCATGGACTGAGACTGATCGCCCAAAACGTGTTCTTAGGCTACCAAGACAATATTCGTTGCATACAATATCATTCAGAGGTCAAGGTCAAGGTCAGGTCAGGTCAGGTCAGGTCACCAAAAAACAAAATATAGAAAAGGGCATGTGCGACACATGTTTTATGGGTCATTTTACTCATAGAATTCAATAGGCACACTCAATAAGTGATATGGACCACCTCTGGATGAATTTCAGGTCGAGGTCAGGTCAAGGTCAGGTCAAGTGAGGTCAAATTTTGAAGTTGGTTGTTAAGGCCTAAAAAGGTGTCTATCTGATGCAGTTTTTCACGGCGAATCGAATGGTGCTATTTTTGTTTACGTACGAGGTCTAGAACTTCCAAAAAAGTCATTTTTCAAAAATTTTGTGTGTCGTGACGTCATAAAATTTTGAATAACTCCCACATTTTTGAACCGATTCTTCTAAAATTTAGTATGTAGGTGCACATAGACCACTTCTCTGACATATATTCCGGTTTTTTCGATAGACTCAAAATTTTGGATTTTATAATGATTTTCCCAAAAAAGTCAGTTTTTTGAAAAAAATTAGGCCAAAATCCAAAATTTTCAAAAAACCGAGATAGCCATTTGATAGACAAAGTAAAATTACGTATAACCTTTTTTGTTACGTCTTGATTCCTATAAAAATGAAGATGTTAGCGGTGTTTGAACTTTTGCCGTTTTTGAGGCGAAAATGACGAACATGACGTCACTAAAACGTCAATTTCTCAAAAATTTTCCGACGGATTTCGCTCAAATTTTCAGGGAACGTGTCAAATTGATGTAAGAAAAGGTACTGAAAGTTTGGCGGCGCTGCGCGCCGCCGTTTTTGAGATATCGCAAAAATTCGCGAGGGGGGGTAAAATTTACCCCCCCCCCAGCCCCGCGCGGGTTAATGCCTGAACCTGTGTTGGCATCATCGTGATCGGTTTCATCGGATATCCCTGAGTTTGCCCGTTCTCAGGGAGCGTACATACATGTGATGTGTCGTCTTCATTGTCGATAGCACTGTGCAGTATCACCCAGTTTAGTCTATGACTGCCACTGTCAATGTGCGACTAGTCGGCTAATGCAAATGCAGAATGCCGAATTCAGAATGCCAGGGGAGAGTCTATCCCCGTCGTTCTGGTCGTTTGCGTTCGGACTTAGGAGCTGGCCCGCCGAGGGTTATTTTTTGGGCGACGAGGCGGCGCTAGTTCTGGCGGTCACTCACTTCCTCTTCCCACAGGCTTCAATCCGTCCACAAATTGAGAACATGCGCTCATTCGGAGTCAAGTCGATACTGGACTACTCCGTGGAGGAGGATATCAGCACTGAGGAGGCCGAACAGGCTGAGATGAGGTCAGTGTTGCATCCCTCCCCCCCCCTATCAGCACTGAGGAGGCCGAACAGGCTGAGATGAGGTCAGTGTTGCATCCCTCCCCCTCCCCCCAGAAATACGCTCATTCCCCCACCCCCAGAAACACACTCATACCCGACCAGCGACCATTCAGCATGCGCTGCTCATGCGTACTTACTACCTACGTCATAAGAAAGTGACGCGGCGCACTCCATTTTTCCTATAGACTTACTTTTTAAAGAAACGTCAGTTTAGACGTGAGAGGTCGAGAAAGCGCCTAGACCACAGGCGGACTAGAGACTAGCTGGTGAAATGATAATGAACTTAATTTGGGTAGGCCCAAGTCAAGTTAGTTACAGAAGCCAAGAGGTTAGGCAATCAAGTGGTTACACAGGGCATAGGTATGCTTATGAATCTACCGTGTTTTTCTGGTTTCAAAAGATGCACTGCATTAATATTTTACTCCTAGCATGTGCACTTCATAACACAATACTCCATTTTAGTTTGGAAATAATTTTGCAGAGTAAAAGTTACAAGACTCTCACAGCTTTCACAAGGCATGCATATCAAAGCTATGCACACATTTTTTTCAGACACTTCTAAAGAGTTCTATTTAATAAGTTAATATTATTCATTAATTAGTCAAATGCTTGTCAAAATGTGAAAAAGCCGCTCTTACTTATACAAGTACCTACTGCTAACTGTGTTTTGCTTTGTGTCTCTTGTTCGTACTGGAATGCGTGAGGGATCTGCTGAGTTTGTCTTTATTTTACACTCTTGCCAAGTGCTGGTGTAGCTCTGGCCAAATCAACGCCATTGCTGGAGCACATGAAGGACCTCAGCGAGACAGAGTTTAAATTCTTTGATAAGCATAGTCTACAACAACTATCTAAGTAGCTTGAGATAGAAACTTGGGTCATTTGTAGTTTGTGAAAAACAGCCATTTTTGGAGACAATATGCTGCCATACACACCATGCTCTCGGTCCTTGCACTGCCATATCCGCAGTACAACTAACAGCATGCTCAGCAGCCTGGCCCAATTTTATAAAATGCCGTACTATTCTATTCACGGTATTTGGTAACATTTACAGTGATATCAGTGCTGACAAACGGTTATCCGAGTCGACGAAATGATTCTTTGGATCGTCAACATACGATGGACTGAAATGCGTGAAAACCATTTTGCATTTGATAGCCGTTTTCTGCAGCTGAACCTCACCCAGTGCTGCCATATTCATTCCACGGCGTTTATAATATTGAACCCTGGTGCGCCACGAACTGCTAATCATGCAGTATCAGCTGATTGGCTGCGTATTGCACAATGCGTCCCTCGGGCTGGTTTCGGCCATTTGTAAACGGTCGTGCTGATGGCGTTCGTTCTTTTCACAGCGGGGTCGCTTGACAAAAGTACGTAGTGATTCCGTCTGTCCTTGTGCATGCATGGTTTTATGTTCGAGCTATTTATCATATGTTAAGTAAGTCTGTTTTTTTCCTCTTATAGCTGATTTGAAGAACGCTGCTAATGCTGCTGAGCATGGTCATAGCTCTGTTTTGTTGTTGTTGAAGTTATACATTTCAGTCTCAAAGAATATTTCGTGGTCGTAGAATAGGGTAATTTAGGGGAGGCATGGGTCTGATTCAATCACGGACGGTGACACTACTGGGGCCGAGCTGATTCCGAGAGAGCGGGGGTGGGGGTGGGGGGGGGGGCACTGGACGCAGGCCACCCTGCTGAAGGGGAGGGAGGTGCCCTCGCCGCTTCCCTGGCTGAGGTGGCCTGCGCGGCGGCACGAAAAACACAACTACGAGTACAGTCGGAGATGAGCATGAAGTGGCACGGGAGTTGCAGGAATGAATGTAGTTATCTGAACGGAAAAATATGCTTACTTGAAATGGCTTACAATGCCTATTATTTCCTGGCTCAAATGTGAACTTGAACCGGGATTTCATATTTTTGTTAATGAGACGACAACGGGCAACAGTAATCTGCGTGTGTTTTAGAGGGAATGGTTTACTTTCCTCAAATTAGTTTTTTTTGCAATGGATTTATGATTTTTGTGCTTAAAATGATAAATAAAATAAAACAGCTTTATAAAAAGGATTATTTACTATATTTTAATATAGGAAGGAATATAGGTATTCTATAAAAAATATTAATTGACGCGGAAGCTTTTTACGCGTTGACCAATCATATTGCGTAGACCCTGTTCAAACGTACCTTCGCATGCTGCATTGGCTGTGAGCAGCATGCTGATTGGCTGACGATGACGTGGCTACATTCCTCAGCAAAGCACTCATTCCTCTGCAAGGCACTCTTTACGGAACGAGAAATTGAATATCTTCGTCTAGGGTGATTGTTGGGGCTCCTGATTTGTGCTAGTCTCAGCTCAAGCTACGAGACTGCTATTTCAGTTCAAAACCCCACGTTAAAAGTGAACGATTTCCTTTAATCCTTTTCCCAAGTTTCTTCTGAGCGACGACATATTTAGCGACATTTTTTAGCGAGTTGAAGCGGGCGATGTATTAAAATAAATACCAGAGAGAGAGAGAGAGAGAGAGAGAGAGAGAGAGAGAGAGAGAGAGAGAGAGAGAGAGAGAGAGAGAGAGAGAGAGAGAGAGAGAGAGAGAGAGAGAGAGAGAGAGAGAGAGAGAGAGAGAGAGAGAGAGAGAGAGAGAGAGAGAGAGAGAGAGAGAGAGAGAGAGAGAGAGAGAGAGAGAGAGAGAGAGAGAGAGAGAGAGAGAGAGAGAGAGAGAGAGAGAGAGAGAGAGAGAGAGAGAGAGAGAGAGAGAGAGAGAGAGAGAGAGAGAGAGAGAGAGAGAGAGAGAGAGAGAGAGAGAGAGAGAGAGAGAGAGAGAGAGAGAGAGAGAGAGAGAGAGAGAGAGAGAGAGAGAGAGAGAGAGAGAGAGAGAGAGAGAGAGAGAGAGAGAGAGAGAGAGAGAGAGAGAGAGAGAGAGAGAGAGAGAGAGAGAGAGAGAGAGAGAGAGAGAGAGAGAGAGAGAGAGAGAGAGAGAGAGAGAGAGAGAGAGAGAGAGAGAGAGAGAGAGAGAGAGAGAGAGAGAGAGAGAGAGAGAGAGAGGAGAGAGAGAGAGAGAGAGAGAGAGAGAGAGAGAGAGAGAGAGAGAGAGAGAGAGAGAGAGAGAGAGAGAGAGAGAGAGAGAGAGAGAGAGAGAGAGAGAGAGAGAGAGAGAGAGAGAGAGAGAGAGAGAGAGAGAGAGAGAGAGAGAACTAATATACCAAGCAATGGTGATATGTCAGGTAATTACCTAAACGGCGGTGACTTTGCCAAGCGGGTTGACTTTGCCACGTTTCTCGAAAATGTTTTAGGGTGATCTCCAGCGATATTTTACAAAGGAAGTAATCATGATGCACATATAAAAAGATACTTGATTGGCCTTCCAATATAACCAGCACTTAAGGCCTAATTGCGCTTTGTTTTATTGGAGCCATTGAAATGGTCAAATTTGAAGAGGTCCAAACTTGCTATTATTTATCCATGTTTTAGACCAGCTACGATGTTGAAGCTTGGTATGGTTGATCATGCCAAGTCTGTTATGTTAGCATATAGAGGAGGGGGGGGGGTCGATGCGACCCCCCTCGCGATTGGCTCCTATGGCACCTAGAAACACCAAATTTGGTAGGTAGGTGGGCCCCCTGGAGTTCTCAAATTTGGTTGCTCTAGGTCAATATTTAGGGGTTTTTTGGGGGGTATCAATGTAAAAATTTAGCTAAAAACAGGTGAAAAGTTTTTCGCTTATAACTTTTGATCTAATTGAGATAGAGCAAAAAAAGCACCAGTGAACTCAGCATGTCAAGGCGCGTCGAATGATATACTTTTTAGCTTGCTTAAGTGTACTTAAAGTTTTTTCTTAATTTTTAAGTAAACTTTAATTAATTAATTAAATGCAAGTTAACCAAATTGCATCTTATTGCATATCGTTCGATTCGGCTGATCAACAGGAACACAATGACGCAATTTTTAAGCTCTAGCGTCATTATGTGCCAACTTATTGGCAAAAACGTCATTTGACCTCATTTAACCTCATTTGACCTGACCCATGGATATATACACCAAACGAAGAAGCACCAAGTGACCTGCTGTTAAGTTCTGTGGTTTCAAAGCTTAAAAGTGATAGAACGAAGCGGGTATCTCCAGTATTTTCCGAATTTAGTATTTTCCCATAGGCTTAACATTACGACGTAATGACCTCTAACTGACCTCAGGTCAGTGACCTCAAAAACCTGAACTAAATGTTATACAACTCGGTGAACTTAGCACATCCTGAAAGTTTGAAGGAAATCAGTCCATAACTGTGAGTTGGACAGGTGCAAAAAGAAAATTGAATTTTGACCATGACCTTGTAGCTGTTTTTCCGACCTGGTGACCTGACCCAAGGTCACCCGGACCTGAAATTTTCAGGTAATATGTAAAAAGTTTGCCCCATAGGCTGTGCCAAATTTGGCGGCGCTGCGCGCCGCTGTTTTTACGCGATCTTCGAAAAACCTTAGGGGGGGGGGGGGTCGCATCGACCCCCCTGCCAGGGCGAGGGTTAAAAAATCATTTGGCATGGTGGCAAAGTCACCCCTTTTCAGTTTAACTTTGCCACGAAACGTTTCTTAAAAAACGATATTTTCAGGCAAGATATAAGCACCATAATAACAAAACTAAAAGAGCTAATATTCTTCCTTGTTTTGAACGTAGAATCACCCCAATTAGTTTGCAAGTTAAAAAAAAATGCAAGCGTCTAAAGTTGAAAAGGTGGCAAAGTCATCTCCGTTTACGGTACATTCATACACGAAGCTTCCTTCACTGCACGGTGAGTTCCGTGCACGCATCAGTGTCGTACAATTATGCAACGCGCAATTCTGTTCAGGAGAGGAAGATCTGGAATAAGATTCATGGCATCAAAAAGGGTGCAAAAAAAGGGTACCTTCGCTAGTGATCAACTGATCACTACCGAAGTATAATGAGATGTGATGAATGGCCTGCACAGGGGCGAGTT